GTGTGAGCTGATTGTCCGTGTCAGTATCGAGCTCTGTCCACAGGTGAAAGCAAATGGAATGACTGACCTGAGCAAGGGGAGTGGGGACACAGAAGAAAATAATCTTTCAAGTCTAACAGTATAGACCTTGAGAGTTGGAGATAGAAGACTCTAATTTTGTTTATTTATTTATTTATTCATTTATTAAGAGTATATGGGTTTGGCACCATGGAATGCAGGGTCTTGACTTGCTTGTTGACTTCCTGCATTGGGCAGTAATCCTGTGTCCCTGGTTTTTGGACTGACAGCAACAGGGTGTTACAGGGTATCAGAATGCCTCTGTGGAGCAGCAGCTGAATGTGCTTCACCATTCCCTCCTGCACCACTTACCGGAAGGGGTATTGGCATTTCATAGCTGTCCCCACTGAAGAGCTGGACCACCACCAGGGTGAGATGTTGAGCAAACCCAGGAGAATTTGTCCTGTGCCCAGACAGCTGCAAAAAGAGTCTTTAACATAGTCAACAACTCTCCTCCATACACCCCTTCCGTCTGTCCCACTTGGATGATGTAATAATCTTCCAAGGGAATCATCATAGCTATTACCTGGGGTTCTCCAAAAGTCACCTACAATCCTCTTCTTCTTCAAAAAAAAATGTTTGCCCTTACTTTGTGTAACAGGTCTCTTTCTATCAGAGGGCATGGGCAATCTGGCATCAGAAGAAATGAATCGGTCACATTTCGTTTTGCCAAATCTGTTGGTGGTGAATTTTTAAGTAGATATCTTCCCCATGTATCTTAGCTGTTTGTCCCGAGAGTGGTCCCAGTGGTTTCTTTAGGACAGATTTTGCTACTCCTGTGTCAACCAGGAAGTACACTGGTTGTCCCCCAACAGTAGCAGTGACCCTGAGTTCTCCAGGGGACTGAGAACACCGGCCTTGTTCACCTCATCCAGATTAAGCACCATAGTTGTCTCGGTCATCTTTCCTTGGTCTGCCTGGGACATTCCCTCTCCTGGTAGCCTTTCTCCTTGCAAAGGATGTACTGATCTTTATTTATTTATTTATATTAGTGAAACACCATGAGGTACAGTTGTAGACTTACAAATTTTTGTGCTTGGGTTTCAATTATACAATGATCGAACACCCATCCTTCCACCAGTGCCCATTCTCCACCACCACTGATCCCAGTATCCCTCCCACCCCCTATCCCCCCCATTCCACCCTGCCTCTGTGGCAGGGCATTCCCCCTTGTTCTCTCTCTCCTTTTGGGTGCTGTGGTTTGCAAAAGAGGCATTGAGTGGCAATCATGTTCGGTCTATAGTCTACAAAGGGTGAACTGATCTTTTCCCAGTCTTGGTCTCCCTGGTCGTCTCTGGTTAACCCCCTGTCTTCCCTCTCCCTCTCCTTTCCTAACAGACTTGGCTAGCTTCTTGGTCTACGTGTGCTCTGGAGAGTCTGTATTCATAAAGAACCATTGAGCATCTTCCATAAGCTCACTTGTTAACTTTCTTTTACATTTCTCCATATTTTCGCAACTTTTTCCAGATTTCTGGAGCTGATTGAGCAACAAAAAACAAATTTCATGCCCTTCTGTTTTCCGGTGCTTTTGAGTCCATGGGTGTAAGATAGGTAAGCACCTATCAGTCCTTCCAACAAGGCTGAAGGCCTCTCCGTAGGTCCCTGAAGGAGCATACTAACCTTGGACAGATTTGTAGGCCACCATGCAGACCCTGGAGGCCCCCTGAGAGAAACTGGTGATAGGTCTAAAGATGCTCCCTACCATCATTGCTGTTCAGGTTCCAGTTGGGGCAGTCTGCGGGGACTCTCAGCTTCTTGATGGCCTCAAAGGTGGCCATTGGCTATGAGGTCGTTCTTTACAGCCTCTCGCCTAGTTCAGTCTCTCTTCTGTGGTAAAGAGGTCCTCGCAGCTGCTGGCAGTCATCCCAGGTTGGCTGGTGGGTATAAGAAATAAACTCCAAGAGAGATAAGTCTCTGGGAGTCCTTCCTACAGGAGGGGTTCTTTACTTTGTGTAACAGGTCCCTTCCTATCAGAGGGCATGGGCAATCTTACTTCAAATTGTAAATATCAAATTGTAAATATCAGAAGTGGGAAAAGGTTGGTAAGCAAAGACAGGACCATGTGCAGCATCCCCAGCATGGGAGCTTGTCTCAAAGGAAACATAGGATAAGGGGCTCTCCGCTAAGATGCCCCTGACTGACCATACTTGCTGCCCTATTGCGTCTGAGGAGACAACAGAGCTTTCCCATCATGGTCTGGGGGCCATTCCAGATTCACAGAAAGTGTTGTGAGAGGAGGTGGTTTGAGCAGGAGTGGAGGAGACCAGAGTCAGATTGTCAAGGATATTGGCTTCAGAATCTGTCAGAACAGAGGCTGCGGTAGTGCTCTTTTTGAATGGTAGGGTTGAAGGAAAGAGTCCTAGTTAGCAAGGCGAGTAAGGAGAACCTTGAGGATCAGAAAGACTTCAACCTAGTTGGCCGGGATTTGACAATGTCGATCCGGATGATGGTGTAAGGAATTTGGCCAGGATGATCAGACTTCCTGAGTCACTTGCCAAAGATTATCTGCCTAACACGGTAACAGAGATTCAGATCGGTTGTTTCCCTGCTTAGGCCATTTCACCTCAAAGAGGGCCCTTCCAGTTCACAGAGCGTATGCAGACTGAAATGGTCAACAGTAGCACCAAGGCCCTTTGCCTTTTGGTCCCCTACTGACCAATGCACCATCTCCTCCAGGACAGTGAATTCCTTAGCAGATGAGTTGCCCATTGTCCTGGAGAACACAAGGATGGCTAGGCAGCTCTCAGATAGATGCTCACACGGCCAGACCCCCTCAGGATCTTAAGGTCACCTTGGCATTGAGGAGTATAGGTATAGTTCCCCCACTAGGTTGCCACCTGTCTTCATGGGGGCAAATCTCCATAAGCCTTTACGGTGTCCACTGAACTGTGGATTAGAGCCCACTCAGATTCCATAGCTGGCACTGTGGGACCACCAGGCTCTCACCACACCCTTGTACTTTTGCCTCCTCTCAAACCAGGTGACAGATGTCACATATCAGAGAAAAGTTTAGAGAACAAAAGTGTATACATTCACCAGAAGCCCTCGGTCGCAGGAGCAGCAAGGACCAAGAAGTCTCGGTGTAGCCTCCAAATGTTAGGCTCAGCCCTCACTGGACCTCTTCCAAGACCTGAGTCACTCAGAGATATAGAGACCAAACACTGAAGCAGAGTTTATTCTCATTCACACAAGGCAGTGCTGCGGGTTCACAGGCCCAAGAGACCTGGAACCCCAAACATTGGCAAGGCAGCAGTATATACTTTTTTCCAGGCTATACAACAAGATACAGTTTATCAAAGCGGGATATAACTGATCCTTACACATGACAACTGCATTTGTTTTATCTAGGTACAGCAGATAAAATGTTCCTTTTTATGCCACATGTTCCTTTTCTTACCTTACATGGGACAGAATCCAGTGGTTAGAACATATGGACCTCCCATATTTACATTATTTTCAGGGAGACATTTGTTAGAATGAGGCAGCAACCTTGGGTACTGTCCGTCTTTTCTTTTTTTCTAAATTTTATTGAATCACCATGAGATAGGTACAAGCTTTCATGTTTGGGTTATAGTCACACAATGATGGAACACCCATCCCTCCACCAGTGCACATTCCCCACCACCAATATCCCCGTATAACCCTCCTTTCTCACCCTCCCTCTGACTCCATGGCAGACACCATTCCACATGTTCTCTTTCTACTTTCGGGTATCATGTCCATCTTTCTTGAGCTTAAGGGGAGGCCAGAGGAGCCGCTCATTTAAAAATTGCTGCACTTTTGTCTCGTACTTCAAAATGGCTTCGCTACTGCCTCACAATGCAAGCACTAACCCCTGTCCTGTCTTGCGCCTCTACAGATCATTGTGCACTCCGGCTCCTCTAAAAATTATTTAAAATAGAATAATAGTAAGATTTGCCCTCCCCCTCTTAGCAAGTGACTATTAGCTCTTCGGCACTCTTTCCCATCCAACATTTTATTTTGAAAAGTTTTACATCTTTTTCAAGTTGCAAGTGTAGTTCAGTGAGCACTTGTGAAGTCATCCAGATTGTAAAGTTATGAATACTTTTCCACATTATATTCTTTCTTTTTTGCCTCAAACACAATTGCACACACATTTACTCATTTATTTTTGCAGCTGGGGTTGGACTCAGTCTTACACATGCAAGATAATTGTTCAAACACTGAGCTACATCTCTGACATCTTTTTTTTTCTTTTTTTGTTTTTTAGGTCACATGCAGTGATGCTCAGGTCTTATTCTTGGCTCTGCACTTAGGAATCACTTCTAGCGGTGCTCAGGAAGCAGAGGGGGTGCCGGGGATAACACCCTGCCTGTCTGTGTGCAAAGCCAACAGCCTACTTGCTGTATTATTGCTCCAACCCCTGACCTCCTTTTTCTTTATTTAAAATTATTTTAACTGAAAAATCTTTTCCTTTGTTGTTAGTGTTCCAAATGGGAATCACATATGACTGGCTGTGGCACTGAGTCATCTCAGTCATGGTGCTCACCAGCTGTCACGTGAGGATTCTGTGCTCTCATACTAGTCCAACTGAGGCACTTACTGAAGGTTGCTGCGCTTCCTTCATTGTGGTGCTTGCACACATACTTTTTGGGGCCACGGTTTCTCCTCCCCTCCCCCACATTGATTTTTAATGATAAAAAATGTGTATCTTTAGAAATAGCTAACAGAAGTCAATTTAAATGATCCCATTGTTGCTGGTAACATCTAAGGCATCGTGGTCAGAGCCAGCCAAACACAAGCTTGCTTTTCTCAGGTTTAAGGAGAGTGATTTGGTCACCTCAGTGATCAGTGTCACAGAGGTGCTTCCCCCGCTGTTTGATCCGGTGCTTGTTGACCTCAACAACCACAGTAAACACAGCTAGTTTGTCTTCATCTTCCTGACTGACTAGGTGCTCAGAGAGAACTTGGTGATGGGTCATGGTCCGGCTGCTCTCGGGGATGCTCTTCCAAGGAGACTGTGACTGCTGGATGAACTGCAAGGAGATTGGAACTGCTAGATGAGCTGCAGTGTTTTGGACTGGCCGAAGGTAGGAGAGACTACAGTCTTGTGTGTGTGTGTATGTTGCTGTGACATGTTTCAACATTGCTTTGTTGACCATAAAAGCTTGTTTTGTTGTTTTTGTTTTTAGGCTACACCTAGTGGTGCTCAGAGCTTACCCCTGATTTTGCACTCAGGGATCTTCTGGTGATGCTCAAGGAACCATATGGGATTCCAGGATCGAACCCAGATGGGCCATGTGCAAGGCAAGCGCCCTCCCTGCTCTACTGTCACTCTGGCCCCTGAAAGCTTTTTCTTTGCTTTATCTTGGGGAGGGCGCTTCCTTCATGCCTTTGTGAAGAGACTAGGGTTGCATTTCCTCCTGACTCTGAGCTTGGGCCACTCCTGGTGGCACTGGAGGAAACCATATATAACTGAGGAATGGAACATGGTTGGCCGCATGCAAGACCAGCACCTACTCCCTGTCCCGTCCCCCAAGTCATAGGGGTTCATTCTTGTGCTCACACACATCTTGGTTATGGTGCTTTTTGCAACTGCTTAGTACTAATGCATGTGCTTCTTGGGTCATACTTCTTGCCATGATGTCTGCACATCTTTTCATAAAATGGTGTTCACGCTTCCAGCATTCTGCACCCCTTTAGTTATGCTCAAACAGATCAGAAATTGTTGGGATGCTGGCAATCCAGAAAGCAAAGCTATTAGGACTGTGCTCAGTACTTATGGTGACTTCTGGGTTTGCACTTGCTCGCACTACTAATTTTTTTTTTAATGTAGGAGTACTGCTATTTATTCAGCCATTGATTAAGCTGATTGAATTGGGAATGAACTCCACGTTACTTTTTTTTTCTTTTTATTGAACCACCGTGAAATACAGTTACAAAGCTTTCATGTTCGAGGTTCAGCCATACAATGATCGAACACTCATCCCTCCACAAGTGCACACTTTCCACCACCAATGTCCCCAATATATCCCCCCCACCCATCCCAGGCCTCACCCTGCCTCCATGGCAGGCAATTTCCCCAATACTCTTTCTCTGCTTTTGGGCATTATGTTTTGCACGAATTTTCCCACCACCATTCAAGTCTGCCTGCCAGGGGCAGATGCTAGATTATTTATTGTCCATTGCTCATTTTGAATATTATGGGTGCCGTGGCCACACGCTTCTGGAATCCTAGATTGTAAATGGTTGGGTTCCAGAGACATTTCTGTAGGGCACGAATCCATTTTGGGATTCAGTTGGGTATCTCCGGACCAGGGCTGTTGGTGCACTAAGACAGTGCCCGGAGGCACATTGTGGGGGTGACAGCCAGACCGATGAGTGGGCGGGGAGCCAGGGAAGGATAGCCCTGTGCCTTTGCTGCTATACAGCATGAAGATTTAGTCCTGGAACCCGCATACCTGGGTCTTGTTTGTGGAAGCTCTTGTTCACTGGGATTCCATCTGGAGTAGGTGGGGAGACTGCACCTGCTGCATCTGGGGTGCCCCAGTGAAACTGGCTCGGTATGGGGCCTGGAGAGATCTCTGGCTCTGTGATGTCTTCTGGGACTCGTTGCTGTGGCAAAACTAATTTCTAAGCTGCTAAGGTATCCCTCACACCCTCCATACATGCCTTATATGTCACACTGTGCAACACACCAGCAGGTTATCACACAGTGAGGCCTTCTGGGGGAGCTTGGCAGGCTTCCCAAGGTAATTCAGAAGTAGACTGAGAACATGAAAGGGATACTGGCTGGGTCACTGTGGTTAGAAAATGGAGCTGGGATGAGGGTGGTCTGTGTTGTTGAAAATGGAAACTTCCTGCCAAGGAGAAATTGCCTGGACTTTAATGTTTACCTGCTTAGATATGGGGTGGAAGAAGAGGGGCAGTAGGTCAAAAATAAGGGAGCCTGAAAAGGAAAATAGCCAATCACTGAAAATGGAGTTAGGGCCTTGGGGAGATCTCAAGAGCTCTGGTGCACACCTGGTGTGTTTAAGGCCCAAGTTTGATCCTGACACTACACTACTGCAGTCCTCTGAGTATAATTCTCGTGGTCTTCACTAAACACCATGGTTTGTGGTCTTTGTAGAAAGGAGGGGATCAGATTATTGCATTGAAGATCCTATGGATCAGTAAAGGGCAGTACTAAAATTGGTAGTGACCGATCTTTGTTAAAGAATGCCTCACAAGGAATCATTTTCATGGTGGTTATTCACAGAGGTGGCAAATTGGATGTGTTTAGAATGTTCAGGCCAAACATAGCATTGGACCTATGTGGGTTCATTCGCAGAGTTTGAGAGACTGGGAAAAAAACTCTTAAGGGGCCAGGGTTGTAGCTTCATGGTACAACACATGCTTTGAAACTGTGCAGCCCATGTTCGATCCTTTGCACAGCAATGAACAAAACCCTTCAGAGATGAGTACCTTGGAGTAGAGTGGTATACAAGCTTTTATAGGTACATACCTATAAAACTTATTTTCTAAGGCTCGAGAGATGGTACAGCAGGCAGGACACTTGCACACTGCTGACCTGTGTTTGATTTTCAGCAACCTATATGGTCCCCTTAGACTGTCAAGAGTGATCCCTGAGCACAGAGTCAGGAACAAGCCCTGAACCCACCATGTGGCCCAAGCGCAAAACTTTTTTTCTCATGAAAGATTTTACTCTGGAGTTAGGATGGGTCTTCAGAGTGGAGCTCAGGAAGCCCAGGGCAGCCTTCCTGCAGTTGTCAGCCAGCTGGACCAGCAGTTCAATGCAAGAGCCGAGGATGTGGTGCTACTCAGGTGTGCAGTGCCAGGGATTGCATGGACCACCCTAGTAGTACTTACTGGTAAACTCCAGGCTGCACCCAGTAATGCTTATGTGCCAGGTATCGGGCTAGGATCAACTGCGTGCAAGGTGTGTACCTTAAGTTCTGGTTTGCCTCTCACTCAGGCTCCACAATAACACCTTAATTATAATTAAGGTGTATGGATCAATGGTATGTTGCTAGGTTGTATATTACTAGGTTGTGCATCCATCATTATTATCTGTTTCTAACATTTTTCATGATCCCCTCAGAGGAAAATAAGTGCCCCTCAGCAATCACTCCCTATCTCCTCCATCCCTCCCAGCTTTAGGCAGCTGAAATTATACTAAACATTTAGTTTAGTATATGTTTGTCACTGTATCACTTTTGGTCGATTTACTTGAGTGGGCGCCAGTAACGTCTCTATTCGTCTCAGTCCTGAGATTTTAGCAGCCTCTTCTTACTTGTCTTTCCCAACAATTGGAGGCTCTTTCAGGGTCAGGGGAATGAGACCTGTTATAGTTACTGGTTTTGGCATATTGGATATGCCACAGGGAGCTTGCCAGGCTCTGCCTGTGTAGGCGGGATATTCTTAGTAGCTTGCCGAGTTCTCTGAGAGGCATATATGTATATTTCTCTCTATGGTTTGTTGCCTACTGTCTGAACTCCATCAAATATGGGGTGGTAATTATGGAAAATGGATAGGAAGTGTCTTATGATGTGTCCAGAAAGCGGCCTGGAGCATGGTGGTGGTTGGGTAGTGGAGGTCGCCTGCTGGGGCTGGGTCCCTTGGGGTAGGGAGGGCTCTCACCCGACCCTTCTGGGGTGCCCCGAGTGAAAACAGCCTGGTGCGGAGTCATAATATATTTAAATAGTATATGTTTAGGATAATACATACATTGAATATACTATAAACTTTTAGTATACTATATATGTTGATTATACTATATTCAATGTTTCATATAAATGACCATTCATTTTCTAATCTTTCTGGGGGGCTTTCACTGAGCATGTTTTCAAGTTTTGTGTTGTAGTTTATCAGTATTTAGCATTTTTTTTTTTTTTTAGCTTTTTGGGTCACACCTGGCAATGCTCAGGGGTTACTCTTGCCTCTGCACTCAGGAATTCCTCCTGACTCTGCTCAGGGGACATATGGGATGCTGGGAATTAAAACCGGGTCGGGCACTGGCAAGGCAAACGCCCTACCTGCTGTGCTATCGCTCCAGTCCCCAATACTTAGGTTTTTGTTAAGGATGAATAAAATTCCACTGTATGACTGTGCCACATTTTGTTTATCCATTCACCAGATGATATCCAAACACCAGAATGTTTGAGTTGCTTCCATTCTTTTGATTAATGCTTTAGTAAACATTATAACTAATGCTTCAGTAAACATTACACATTTTTGTGTTTGAGTACATAACTTTTCTTTTTGTTACCTATAGGAATGGAACTGATTATAGCCACACTGGTTGGCTTGAAATGGAATCATTTTGGTTTTGATTTTCATTTCCCTGATGGTTGATGATGTTGATTATCTTTTCTTGGTTTTTTGTTTGTTCTTTTTGTTTGTTTTCCGGGTCACACTAAGCCATACTCAGGGGTAACTCCTGGCTCTTCACTCAGGAATTACTCCTTGCGGTGCTTGGGGGACCATATGGCATGCCGGGAATTGAACCTGGGTCGGCCGCATTCAAGGCATATGCCCTTGTACTCTCGCTCCGGCCCCTTGATTATCTTTTCATGGTACTTACTGGCCATTTGTTTTTCTAAGGGACAGAATGGGATTGCAAGTGGTCAGGGCCATCCATCTGGCGATTCTTGGCCATCCAAGCACAAGGCCCATGAATGCAAGGTTGTAGTGCTAGAGATATCCAGTGATGGCTCTTGGTCTAGAGTGGTGGGAGTTACCCTGGATAGCAGTGCTTTAGCAGGTACATTATTTGTACATGATTTACCATTTTGAATTGTCTTTCCACTTTTTAATTTTTTAAGTATTTTTTTAATTTTTAAATTTTATTTTTATAAGTAACGTCTCCATTCGAGACTTTGTTGTTACTATGTTTGGCATACCGAATACGTCATGGAGCTTGCCAGGCTCTGCCGGACGGGCGAGATACTCTCGGTAGCTTGCCGGGCTCTCCGAGAGGGGCGGAGGAATCGAACTCGGGTCGGTCATGTCGGCTGCGTACAAGGCAAACGCCCTACCGCTGTGCTATTGCTCCAGCCCTTTTTATAAGATTGTTCACATTAATTGATTACATTCAGTATTTCAACACCAATCCCACCACCATTACACCTTCCCACCACCTATCAAGCCTGTCTGCCACAGGCAGAAGCTAGATAATTTATTTTCTTTTGCTTATTATGAATATCATGAGAGGTTGTGCGGCTGCAAAAGTGGCTGCACACTCCTGGAATTCTAAAATTGTAAATGATTGGGGTCCGGAGACATCTTCGTAAGGGAGCTGTTCCATT